TACTTCTTACTTTTGTCTCCCTATTTCTCTTTCTGTCTCCCTTTCTTTGTCTCTGACTCTTCCTCTCTCTTTTTTCTTAATTTCATTCTTTCTTTCTGACTTTCTCTCTTTTACTCTTTCTTCTTTCTTATTCTTCCTCTTTTTTCCTTATTCTCTCTTTCTCTTTCTTTCTTTCTCTCTGGCTTTTTTCTCTGTCAATATTTTTCTCTTTCTCTCTTCCTATCTTTGTTTCTCTCATTTTTTCTGTTCATGCCTAATTTCATTCTCTCTCTTTCTTTATGTCTCTCCTTGTCTCTCTCACTTTTAACTTTCCCTCTTTCTTTCTTTTGATCTTTTTCTCTCTATCTTTCTTGTTTGCTCTTTCTTTTGTTCATTTTCTCTCCTGTCTTTCTCTTTTCTTTTTGTGTCTGTAACTCTCTCTATCTCTTTTTCTTCCTTTCTCTCTGTGTCTCTTTATTTTAATCTATCACTAAATACTTTATTTTTCTCTCTTTATTATTTTCCTTTCCCTCCCATTCCTCTGTCTCTGTTTCTTTGTTTTTCTCACATTAATTTTCTTAATTTCATTTTCTTTCTTTCTCTCTCTTTCTTAAACTCTCTGTATGTCTGTCCCTTTCTTTATCTTTTTCTCTCTTTTACTTTCTCTCTTACTCTTTTTCAATTTTTTCCATCTTTCTATCTCTCTCTCAGTCTTTCTTTCTCTCCTCTCTCTCTCATTTTCCTCTCTTTAGCTCTTTCTTTCCTCTCACTGTTTCCAAATCTTTGTTTCTCAATCTTGGTTTAATTTCCTTCTCTATTTCTCTTTTTCTCATAATCTCTCTGTTTCTCTTTCTCAATGTGTCCTTTTTCTCTCTTCTTATCTTTTCTTATTTCTCTTTTCCTCTTTCTTACTTGCTTTCTTTGTTTCTTCACTTTTCTATTTCATTCTATCTTTTTCTACTTCTCTCTAGTCATTCTCTATCTTCTTTTTCTCTCTCACTCTGTTTTTCTTACTCTCCCTTTTTAATTCTCTTTCATTCTGTCACTTTTTGAATCTTTGATTCCCTCTTTCATGTTTACTCTCTCTCATTCTCTCTATGAGTCTTTCTTTGTACGTCCCATCCACTCATTTTCTCTTTCTTCCATGCTGTTTCATTCTCTGTGTCTTGCTCCCTTATCTTTTTCACCCTTTCTCCCTAAGCATAGCCCTAGGGCCCTAGGGACTAGACTAAAATAGCCATAAATCTAACTCTAATACTATCCCTAAAACTAACCCTAACCCTAACCCTAACCCAGCACTATGCCTAACATAAATATAGCAATAACCATAACCTGTACCCTAACTCTAAACCTAACCATATCCATAACCAAGCCCTACCATGCCTGGTTGGCCTCCAACTGATCCTCTTGAACTCAGTCTCCACCATAGCTTGAGATGACAATCATCCTCCAATGTGCCCAGCTATTGATCTAGAAGGAGGTTTCCTAAGCCCAGGTGTTAGGATTACATTTGTGAGACATGAGTGCCACACTACATTTCGCATATTAGTTTTCATGTACCTGTAAGTTCAGTTATTTTACTACTTACATTTTGCCATTGTAATTCTATTTCCTCTACATATAAGTAAGTCAACTTTTTTTCATGTCTGAAGTGTAGAAGCAACAGGTTTCACTGTAGCCTAGGTTTGCAGCAGGCAGGATGCCTATGTTTGTGTAAGCTCACTCTATGAGATCACAGAATTACAAAATTATCTAAACACATCCTCCTAATTCAGTTACACATGATTTTATCTGAGAAGACTGATATTCACTCTAAAGTCTTACATGGAATGGTCCATTTGTGACACTTCTGGCTTTTCTAGCAAGCAACTACAATCCCTTTTTCTGTCTGCCCATTTCTCAGCTCCAATGCTCAGTACACATCTTCAGGTGTTTCTGAAAGCAGCATCACCACTCTGCTACTATATATATCTTGGGCTGTTTGTCCTTCTGTGAGAAAATTCAGCAACTCTGGTAATTTTAAAACCATAGACATCTACTGCTCACAGTTCTGGAGGTTGGAAAGTCCCAGAACAAAGTTCTGGTGGTGAATCTGGAAAGACTTGTTTCTCTCTTCCAAGGTGACATCTTGATGCCACATCCTCACATGGTGAGGAGATAAGCACTGTGCAGTCACATGGTGGAAGGAAGGATTGGTGGGAACCTCAAGTTCTCAAGAATTTATATGGTGGAAAGAAGGATTGGTGGGAACCTCAAGTTCTCAAGAGTATGAAGGCAGAGTGTTCATGGCGACTAACATAAGATAATCCTCACTGTAATCTCAGCATTTCATAAACACTGATGCCATGCACACCTGGGCAGCCTTCCACAAGGAGCACAGAGAGCACACCCATCACTCTGAAATTTTACCTTTGCTCATATGTGTTTATTCCCTCCTGTGCTCTTCACCCACCATGTTCCCAAGCAGTCCTGATATTGACCTCTCTTGGTCCTCTAGGTCAGGATTCAGTTTCTAGAAGTTAAGGGAGTGAAGCCATGCATTATGCACTTTTCTTTGATCTGTCACTGGGCATGATTAATCATGAATGCCACTGTGCTGAGGCATTTACTGGATTAATTATGGCTGAAATTTAGTGAGTTAATTAGATACAAGTTGTTTACATGTTGAATTGCTTATGGGTATTGCATTGTTCTCAGGTTCTGACTCTACAAATGAATTTTCAACTGGGCTTTGCAAGGTGGTTTTCTGTGAACCCAGTTGCTCTCATTCATAAAGCAACAAACAAAGCAGGAAACACTGACTATTGGTACAGTATCCAGAACCCATCAGAGATCAAAAATTATAAGCAGATCACTAACCTTCTTCTGGGTGTAGACAATGTTTGGAGAGAGACTCAGTACCTAGGAATGACCCCACATGGCAGATGCAATCAGAAATCACAAGCTAGTATAACCTTACAGGAAAAAATTCTAATGACTCCAGAAGGTCGTGATTTCAAAAGATGCTATATTCATAAATGATCAGAAAACTTAAATCAGTAAGTTTACAGTTCAACTCAAGGTTTTGTCTCCTGGTTTAGGGTTTATTCCAGTTCTCTACTAACTTCAGTAGTTCTTCCCCAAGAGAAGTACATGCACCTCTACCCTACTACTGTGCAATACTCACCAGCTCATCACCATGACAGAAATACATAACCTGCAGGGTTGATACTTCAGAGACAGCAACGTGGACATGAGGGAGAACAGAGGTCTGGGAGGAACACAGTAGGAAGAGATGGAACTCTTTCCAAAGCTTCCTCCCCTGTGTTCCTAAGTAGCAAGTGCTTCACCTTCAATCAGGACAGCACACCTGGAAGCTGAGAGCACTGTGGGAACCCTTGCAGCTGTGGTAGTGAAGAACTGGGAAAAGCGAAAGCAAAGCCCACCCAGGTGACAGGTAACATATCAGTGCCCCATGTCACTTCTGTATCCCTTTCCCACACATTAAAAATTATCAAGTGAGTGTAAACCTGAAGTGGATCTGGAGGGCACAGTGAACTAGATCTTCTTGAGGAGAGCAGAGTACACTCTTCTGGGGTGCACAGGAGAGGGAACATAGTTCCGGTTTTCAAAGCCCCCAAAATGCCCAGCAAAACCCTAATTTTATAGAAATTCCACAAAATAATCCTTTGAGGTGGCAGGTGTACTGATCTCTAGAATAAAACAAGAAAATAATGTGCTAACATACCGTGTGGTTTTAAATATAGGAATTAGAGGAAATAAAACTGACAGGATAGCAAGAAGACAAAAGTCATATGGAGAGAGAATCAGAATGAGAATTCTTATAGTTTTGGGACACATGAGATTGAACAGAAAAGTGAAAACATCATGGTTAATGTGAGAAATTCTGAAGAAAGTGTAGACTTCATGAAATGAAGTGGAAATGCCAGGTGCAATCACAATGAACCAACCCAAGGAGAATTGCGCACTTTTTCCAGATTCATTATAGGATTGGAGTCCATTTTGAAAAGAAGCAGAAGCTGAGTACCTGATCTCTGAGGCAACACCTTCAACATAAAGGGATAGCTGAGACTTGCAGAGACCACCAAGACAAAGAGGGCAGGTGACAAAATCTCTGGGTTTTTCTGCTCAGGCTGACTGCTGATCTACATGCCTTTTCTCTATTTTGCACATGAGCAGCTGTAATTACATGATGGACACTTATCACCTTAACAAAACAGCCCAGTGTGATCTCCTCCTGCTGCATGATGCCCATCAGCATGCTGGTTTGGACTTGTAGCATAGGTGCAGCAGGATCAGTCTGCAGGACTCCCACAGCCCACAGAAGAAGGAGGTGACTCCATGACAGAATGAACAGAGCAAGGTCAGCTCTGTGTTCACAGTACATTTTGTCTCTCAGTCTTTTTCACAGGTTAATAATGACCATGTTCATTTCTCACAAGAGTCCTTGCACAGAGGACAGCAGGAGGGCCCTGGGCTGTGGGGACTGAGAGATCCCTCCAACCTTTCCCTCCAGCCTGCAGGAGACACAGCCTGAGACTCACCTGACCTCCATCTATGTGGGTTTGTCCTGGGATTTAGAGCACAGATGTCACAAATACCATTTTCGGGATGAACAACGAAAATGGGATATGTAAAAAGGATTATTATTGACTAAGAAAATGAATTAATTAATATAAGTGGGTCAGTTCTGAGGGCATTGTGCCTAGTTCCTCACAGAAGGAGGGAAAGAGAGAGCCCTGTTAGGTTTTTTGCATCACTGAGAGAGGTCTGAAACTCCTCTTTTTCACAACCTGAATCTAATGTCTGTCCAATCAGGGAATCCCACAGAGTCTCTGCTCTGTCTTTGGACAAAGACATAACCTGGAGCTTTGAGCCAGTGCAGGATCTGACTGAGGTAGAGTCACTTCTGGTCCTAAATGTTACATTCTACACTTTGTTCCTGTCAGAATATACCTTATATATTTGGAAAACCACAATAAAATAGAACTATTTATGTTCAAAGTCATAAAACCCTTTTGTCATGGCAGCACCTGGCACAAAACTGATCCTGAGATAAATGTGTGAAGACCACCCCTTGCTGGTAATAAATAGAACTGCAGGGAGGGTAATGTCAGGGATCTCACTGAAGTCTCCTCACTGATGCCTCTTGTACAGTAATACACGGCTGTGTCCTCGGCTCTCAGGCTGTTCATTTGCAGATACAGCTGGTTCTTGTTTTTGTCTCTGGAGATGGTGAATCGGCCCTTCACAGAGTCTGGGTAGTACATGCTACCACCAATGTAAATTGTTGCAACCCACTCCAGCCCCTTTCCTAGAGCCTGACAGACCCAGCCCATGCCATAACTACTGAAGATGAATCCAGAGGCTGCACACGAGAGTTTCAGAGCCCCTCCAGGCTGCACCAAGCCTCCACCAGACCCCACCAGCTGTACCTCACACTGGACACCTACAAACACAGAGAATCATGGTCAGGAAACTGTCACACTTTTCCTCCTACTCATGTCCACTTACACACTCAAGATTTCTTGTTCTCTGTAAATCACCTTTAAAAATAGCAACAAGGGAAATCCAGCTTAGCTCCAGATCCATGGTGAGTGGTCTGTGTTCAGGGCTGATCACTGAATGGAGTCAGCTGGAATCCAGGGCTGGGCTCCTCTCCAGATCTGCAGGGTCAGGGCTAGGCTGGTTTTCAAGAGCAGAGGGAGACCTTATTTGCATGTCCTCCTGCTATATAGCAAGCTCAGAGTGGAAGATTCAGAATTGCCGCAGTCCACAGCAAATCTGACCATCCTTGTAGAGATTCTGACAATGCCTGCATTAAAGAAAGAAAGGGAATATTTAGTGGGGAAACAGTGGAGGTGGAATGGGAATGGACAGAGACCTGGGAGGGTGAATATGATCAAAGCACTTTGCAGACATCTGTAAAGATAAAGTAATGCAACATTGAAAAATTAAACTGTTTTAAATTTGTTTAAAAATAAGGGAGGGCTGATCAGGAACAGTAATAGATGGGTTGAGTTTGTTCATACATGCATATAGACATTGTATGCATGTATGTAAATGAAAAACAAAACCCATTTGTGCAATATACATTAAACAAAACTAAAGTGAACACGAAGTCTCATTATGTGACTGAGAAGCATTTTGAACAATAGGTCTTATTTAATTTTTTCCATGAACACAAAACTTATAAGTATTAAATTTATTTCTTTTCAAACATGTGGAAGTATAAAATAATCACAATGGTTGGTGCTGTGTGTACAGGAGTTCATGACTACAACCATCCAGAACACTGCTCCTTAAATCAGAATGAAGCACACCTGGTGAGGAGTGCACAACCCCCTTTCTGTGATGGTCAAAGGTTTGACATACCTGCATTCTAGGTTTAAAAGAATATAGATAACCAGTGTCCAGTCAGATGCAGGACTTTTAGTCTCTGGCTTGTCATGCCATTTTTCCCCAGTCACATTTTATATCTTGAGATGTGTTGTCTCTTTAGCAAACTTACTGTGTTTCTGCACAGGGTGTAATAAACTGCATATTTATAGGGAGCATGTTTGATGATGCTGCTATCATGGAAACTTGTTCACCATCAGCACAAAGAGAGGAACCTATATTCAATTACAAGTGTACCCTTGGGTTCCAACCTTTCACTTCTCTCTTTCTATCTCCAGACAGCTCAAGACCTTTATGTTGTTGTAGATTAGTTTTCATTTTTCAAAATTTATACCAACTATCATTTACGGTGTACAGTTTTAATTGTTTTGCATATTTACACAATAATGTTTATCAAAATGCCCCATGCTCGTGGGGCTCAGTCATTTATTTCTTTTATGCTCAGCAATTTTCCCATAGAGGAAACACTTAATTAACTTTTGACAACTGACCTATTCCTGGGTGTTAAGATGCTTTTTATGTTTCTATCTATTACACATCGAGGTGTTATTTAGCTTGTAGTTTTAGAGATCTGATAAAAGATGCTCCTATTCTGGCAGCAAAGATAAAAGCAATATTATATTAGACTATCTGCCAGATTCCAGACTTCCCAGGACAAATAGACACACATGATATATGGAACCTGGACTCAGGTCTCTGGCTTGGGCCATCCACAACACTAACCTGCTCTCAATTCCTACACTCCACAGCAGTAATATGTAGTGTCCCTGAGGCAGAGGTCACCAGACACCAGGGTGAAAGTGACACTGGAAGCGGTTGATGTATTACTGTTGAGCAAGTGTGTTGGGACACCAGTGTGTGAAGGTCCCATGGCTCACAGATGCAGGGGGTCTTTGTACATCTTTGTTGCTATACTGAAAGACCTTACACCTTGTGTCCTACATGACAGAAGAGAGGCTCACTGAGTCCTCATATTGCAGAAGATCACACAAGAGGTCTGTTTCCTCTCATAACCCTTTTACAGCAATACTAATTCCATTTAAGAAGTCAGATATCCTGCATAGGACACACCTGTGAATATCACCTTGTTGATTAAGTTACAAACAGGAGCTTTGAGGATTGTATCTACTCTAAACATAGGTTCCCACATTGGACCTCAAAAATTAATATCCATTCTCTGTATTAAATGAATTCCTCCATTGCAATAGTCACAAAGGAACTTGTTCAAGTATCAACTATAAAACCTAACTTTAATACAAGGTTGTACAAACCTGATAGTAAATCAAATATGATAGAGACTGCAGGAACATGTCATCCCTGGCATTTGGTTGACACCCCTATTCCAAAATGGATGATGTGAAAGAAGAGATGGATAGCAAGTCACATAGAATACTGAAATTCAGTTGTTCACACACTAAACATCAATGTTCTATTGATTCACACTACAGTAGGCATGTGAATCAAGGGCAGGCTCACCCATATTCAGCTTTGTGCACCTGACTCAGGAGCCTCATGTATGTGAGCTGGCTTCCTCAGCTCTTCATGGCTTATTTTGCATAATGAAGCATCTACAGGGCTAGTTTCACAGCAGAAATATCACCTCTATATGTCCTCTACTGATTTTTCCTTTTGAGACTCCCTGGACATGGTCTTACACCACAATTGTGCTGGCCCTGTCCCCATGGAGGCTTTCAGCACTGCCTCCCATTCACAGTGATTCTTTGCATGGCTCAAAGCTGTATGACAACCCTTTAAAATCTAGATGGAGGCTTCCCTGCATCACAGCTCTAGGATATTGTAGAACAGCAGAGTAAGTCAATACAATTAAATATAACCATATATGGATTGGACCTTGCTTTTTGATTCTGTAAGATGCTTGCAAGGGTATATAAGGTGAGACCCCTTTGTTCTTGGGGCACAGCAGACATGAGTCTGCTGAATGTTTGCTGGTGTGATAAAACACTGCTTCCTGCTAAATTGCCTCAGTGTCTTGTATCTTAGCTTGCAACTTCCTGCAATATTTCTTGGGGACTTGCCTGGGATTGCAGAGACAAGGTGGGTTGCCACCTCCCTGTCACCAGGGTGCCTCCCCCCATACAGACAGGAGGAGGTCCCATCAGGTGCCAGTGTACAGATTGATCTGGAGGGGGATTCATCCTCTGGGCAAGTCAGAGTGAGGGCCTCAGATGCACACGGGACCCAGTAAGATGCAGGAAACAGTGAGGGATGGAAACACTACTCATCATTCTGGTATGAACTCAGGTTTGATTTCAGACCAGCCTCAGGAGGCAGAAGGGGAGACTGATCACCTCCCAGAGACCGCTAGTTACACTCTAACCATGGTATAACCATTCCTCTAAGGTTTAGCTAGCAGGATGGAAGTACTGGGCTGTTTGAGTGTGTGAAAGTGCTAGCCTGAGATGCAGCCCAGCTGTAAAGCAAGTGAGGAATCCCAATCATTGGGTACATGGACATCTCATAAGGTCCATTTTCCTGCTGAAAAGCTGCTGGTTTATTCTGTCAAGCCAATCTTCTAAACACTTTTGATTGTCCCCTTGGCACACTGCTACATTACATCATGGCCACAGTGAGTATTTTCCAAATTGTTAAGTTCTCAGGCCCCACATGACTTACTTTCAGTGATGCAATCATGAAAATCTATGATTTCCTAACTTGTAACTCCAAATCATTTCTAACATGCTCATTTCCACAGCTGCTTCCACAGCTTCAGGTACAAGTTAAAGCTACACCACACCTGCCTTAGTCTGTGCTAACTTAAGAAAACACAACACACATGGTGATCATGGTATCATAGACAATTACCACTCACAGTTCTGGATCACAGTTCTGGTCCAAGATTAAGATCTTAATTCCTTCAGTATATGGTAAATCTGGTACTTTGCTGCCAAGCTGACAAGTCTATGCCTGGGTATATTCAGAACCCTTTTCTCAGACCTTGCGAGGCAGAAGTCCCATGATACCATGCCAAGAAACCAAAGCCAGAGCAAACCACATGCATCTAGAAATCTGTTTTCGTTCTGACATCCATCACAAGCTGGATGCCCTATTCCTTGTCAGTTTAACTGCCCAGATTCTTGGGAAAACAATGTTGGATGAGTACATCTTCAGTATGTAGAGGAAGCTGACAGTCAAAATCCTGAACACAGGCCCCAGCCACACTGCACTTCAGGCTTCTCCATAGCTGAAGGACAAAGTGGAGAATGGAAATGCTGCAGCTGCAGTGCTGAGAGTGGACAGTTGACCCTGAATTCATCTCTCATATTCACTATGCTCCAAGCACTATGACATGCCTTTCCCACAGAGCAGGGTGAGATTCCTCCAGGTGGCGACTCAATTGCTGTCCCTTCTGACATGGTCTCCAGCCAGACATCTGCCACTAAGACTTTCCAAAGTTCCAGGGAATTTGGAATAACTGACTTGTCATGAGGAAGTTGCTTCTGAGTGGATAATCTGGCAAGGATATTTGGTCTGTGATGTCATGAGGTACTTGCTTCTGATTGGCTCCTCTGGCAAGTGCAATTGGACGGATTGTGATGTCATGAAGAAGTTCATTCTGATGGATCATCTGGCCAGGAAATTCCTCGGAGCCCAAACCCTCCTCAACTGTCAGCAACCTGAATAGCAGACACTGGGTGCCATCATCTGGAGAGTTGATAATTGTTCTTATACAATATCCCAGGTAAGGATTCTGGGACCACCTTGGGTGAAGCTGAAATGGGATGTGATTTCTGATAATTTCTAAAAAAGGAACAAGGATTCACTAGATATGAGATAGAGAAGGCATGACACTTGACAGGTAAAAAACACCACAGGTGTTTTAGACTTCTTCAGCCATTACTGGTAGTTTTACATGGGCCAAGTCAGCTCACCTCTTAGGAATCCATCTTTGATGATAAAAAAATGGTGAGTTATCCTGAAAACAACCACAAGGATTCTGTCTTTAATTAATATATTCTGTGTCTATAACTCTATCTCCCTGCAGGTGTCTTTCTCTCTCAGTGTTTTGGTTCTCTCTCTCTCTCTCTCTGAATCATTCCTCCTTCAGCCCTCCAACCCAAAGGCATATGAAACATCTTACCAACAGTGTAGGACTGGTTGATCCTGCAAAGCTTCTCTAACTATGGTGCCCATTGACCCATATTTCCTGTCCTGGCAGCAGTCTCTGCCATTTCAAAGTTCCTACAGCAATTACCATAGCTGTG